TCTCTGACACCTTGAACGAGGTTAGTTTTTTATTGGTTCATAATATTGTTTTCGATTCGTCTAGAATATGATGTATTTAGTTGGAGTAAATGGAAATTCGGAATTTTTATCAGTATTTTTGTCGGTAAAAGAAGTTACGTAAGTCAATGATTTATGGCCGTGTTTATTCGTTTAATGGTCGTGGTCAATGGTTTTATGATTAATGGTCGTGGTTTTAGGTTTTATGATTAATGGTCAATGGTTGTGTGATTAATGGTCGTGGTAACATGTTACATCGGTCGTGGTTCTTAATTGTTTGATTCATGGCCGTGGTTGCAAATTCCCTCGGCCGTGGTGTTTATCGTGTGATTAATGGCCGTGGTAGCATGTTCTTTCGTCGTGGTCCTTTATTGTTTGATTCATGGCCGTGGTTGCAAATTCCCTCGACCATGGTGTTTATCGTCTGATTAATGGTCGTGGTAGCATGTTCCTTCGTCGTGGTCCTTTATTGTTTGATTCATGGCCGTGGTTGCAAATTCCCTCAGCCGTGGTGCTTATCGTCTGTTTCATGGCCGTTGTGACATGTTCCCGGGGTCATGGTCCTCTAATGTTCGATTATGTGCTCTTTTTCATTAAATTAACGGTCGTGGTACTCTTTTTCATGGCTGTGGTCAAGCAAACAATTTAAACATGGTCCAACCTAGCCCATTAGTTGTCTTTCATGAACACCACGGCCGTGGTCAAGCATTCATTTTAACCATGGTCCAACCTATCTCATTAGTTGCCTTTCACGGTTGGGGTCCTATATTTCACGGTCGTGGTGAAGCAAAAAATTCGTGTTACTCTTCTACTAACCAAGGTCAAACTAACAATAACCACGGTCAAAACCACGGTCTAACCCTGCCCATTAATTTCCTTTCGTGTTAATTCGTTTGCGACTTCACTTGCATTCCAGATTGAGGCTAAAATAGTAATTTAATCCTTCAATATTCTATTCAAAATATTAAATTGGGTCAGTTGAGTCAAATTTTTTAATTGAGGTCAGTTGAGCAAACAACAAACTTTTTTAGGTTATCTATGTCAATTTCCCAAATTCACTAGCGGAAGAGACAGCTGCTGACTGGACATTTTAAAATGGAATGACATGGCATCACTAATCCGACTAGACACTTTTTATATTTGACTTGGATTCAAATTGATTTTCTTAGAAAAAAGTTCAAATTAAAATTAAAAAATAAATAAACAAACCAACCAATGTCAAGTTCTCATGGAAATATCGATAAAAAATGTGAATGTCGATGGATACTTTAATAAAAAATAAAAATAAATAAAAAATCATAAAAAATATTTAAATCAACAAATAAACATTTTTTATTTATATATAAGTTATAAATGATTAAGTTAATATTATGTATATTAGGATGGAAATAACAATTTATTCTCGTGTCGATGTCGAACTCATTGATATATCATTGATATATTAATATGTACATGGATCAATACATATTTAATATTATACACTCTACCTCTCCACCCACCTCCTTTGCCTTCGTCCAATGTCGCCTGTCACTCGCTACCATTAGACACGGTGGTAAGGCAATAGGCCATGTCAGAGAGTAGGGGCTGGCAAAGACACACCAAGCTCTTAGGAATGAGGAGGTAAGTAGGGTAGATAGAGAGGGGAGTAGATAAGCTATTTTTATTATTAAATATACCACATCATTTTTTTAGTTGGCTAGGGAAAAATCTAACGCTGGAGATTAAAATGAAGTATTTTTCTAAATTATCGAGGTAAAAGTATACAATTTTGAAATCTAACCCATGACCAAATAGCATACTACCTTCACCCAATTCTATTTCATATGGTTGCAAAGATTTTTTATTTTATTATTATTATTATTTGCAAAGATCAGTTGTAGAGGTCAAAACTTGTATGATTTTTTTAATACAATATGTGAGAGAGATGATTCGAATTCATGATCTTTATAACGAAAACGAAGATGAACAATAGAAAGGAAACAAGATAAATGTTTACGAAGGAAGGATTTGATTCATAAATGAGAACTAGTTACACGTATAGTGAACTAATAAAACCGATCACTAAGTCACTACCCTTGAATTTCTCCCGAATCAACACCATCATGCCACTAAACCATTATGCCCAAACTTTCTCCTCAATTTTACATCCACTCACCACTACTTCTAATAGGTAGGAAAGTAACTCCCCACTAATCCATCAACTCCTAAAAATTCTCAAGCACTAGCATAAATTTGCACTAATTTTTAACACTCTCCCTTAGTGCAAATGTACAGTCAATAACGCCAAGTGAACTTCTAAGTTCTTCAAACTTGTGTTTGCCAAGTGTCTTAGTAAATGTTGATGCAGAAATTTGGCCTCTTGGGATTCCGTCAAATTCGCATCAATCTTCTAGAATAAAAGAGATCGATGAGACCTGTAAAATATAATAGCATTAAAGACCGGTGTGACTCTTGCCACACGGGCTCCGATGCTTAAGTGAAAATCGGAGTAGTTGAATATAAAGTGTGGGGTGTTGTGAGCAATAGCAAAGAGTAGAGATTTGTAGCATACATTCATTATGAGTATTTACCTTTTATTTATAGAAGGAAAATCCTAAGGCCATCAGGATACTTATAGGATATATTCTCCTGAATCTAGGAGAAATCGTAAGGCTATCAGGATATCGTCTCTTTTCGTATATATGATATATTCTCTTGAATTTAGGAGAAATATTAATACCATCAGGATTGAATTGCTTAAATAAGGGGAATCCGAATAGTGGAAAATAGATATTTTCTCATTCATAACAGTAAATATATCTGCAACTTGCTCCTTGGAATGTATCTTCTGCAGTTGAATGTCTTGTGTCAAAATTTTCTCTCGAACAAAGTGAAAATGTGTTTCAATATGCTTTGTACAAGCATGAAACACGAGATTCCTTGCAAGCTTGATTGCACTTTCATTGTCACAAAAAATGGTCACTGGATAGTCCAAAATAGAGAATATTTCTCCCATAAGTCTTTTCAGCCAAATACACTATTGAGTAGCCATACTAGCAGCTACATATTCTGCTTCACAGCTTGAAAGAGCAACAAATGTTTGCTTTTTACTGCACCATGATATAGCCCCTGAACTTGTATAAAAACAGTACCCGATTGTGGAACGTCTGTCATTGACATTACCGGGACAATTAGCATCAACAAAACCACTCAACACAAAAGATGTAGCTTGTTTATACAATAAGCCAAAACTTAAAGTGCTCTTCACATATCAAAGAATCCTCTTTGCTGCAATTAAATGAGCTTCATATGGTTTCTCCTTAAACTGAGCAACGACACATATAAAGCAAGAGATGTCAGACCTTGTGATAGTCAAATAAATTAAACTACCAACAAGTTGTCGAAAATTTG